CCCGGCCCCACAGAGCCCGGGGCAGTCCACCCAACCCCACCACAGAGAAAACTGCACCCACCCCATCATCCACTCATCTTCCAGACTACACAAGACAATAGACGTCCAGGCTGAGATCTTCCTCCACCTCTCCTGTATCACTCCTGCAGAGAGTTCCTGAAGAGAGGAAAGCTCCTGCAAGGTGTAACAACCTCCCCCACCAGTTGAAGAGCCCCCCAGGTGGCTCGATGCACTGGCGGCACCCTGCGCCAGAGCCGGGCCCCCATACACCCACCCTAATAAAGAAATATCAATAATAAAGAATAATAAAGAAACCAAAGACTAGAAATAATATTAAAATCAAAGTTCATAAATAACACAAAACTGAAAACTCTGGGTCGATGACCCAGGCACCCGAACACCTCCCCTGATTCCCAAACGACCTCAGCTGTTTTTTGGGCTCTACTCTGAGCACCTCTTGGGTGACTCAAGGGTGGCTAGTCCTCTTTGGATGAGACCTGCCGCCCTTCAGACAAAGCTTTCTGCTCTCTTTGTGATCTCATTCGTTCATTCGTTCTGTCAGCTTTCCCACCTTCCAGGTTTCTTGTGGGTGCTGTTCTCAGGTGCAGCGATGGCCTGGGATGCTGCTGACACGGGCTCTGGGTTCTCTCTCAGTGGGTGGTAAATTGGAAATATGACTCTTTGTGCTGGCTCTCTCCTTCTGGGAGTCTTAAACATCCTGAACCCTTTCCTTTCCCCACTTCCTCTGAAAACACATCACTCACACACAAGGTATGAGCGGGAGGAGCTACGTAGGGCGATGCACATGGATTTGATGGCCGTGCTGTGTGTCCATCTGTCCACATTTCCTATTTTTCAACCCTGTCTGGGACCAGGGTTGGTTGGAGCACCTGTCCATCCTCAAATCATAGGGTGTGGTAGATGTTTTTGTGCAGCTTCTGTGTGTCTGTGTGTGTAGCTGGGTTGGAGGCTCACTGAGCCTTGGTCCCTGTGAGAAACTGTGAGAGTGGGGGTGGAGATTCACCTCCTACCGTTCCCCACTCGGCGTCGCTCGTTTTGGATGGTTGCTGGCCTGCTCTGCTGGGGGTTGTGGTCCGAGCCGAGGTGGCTTGGCCTTCTTCTTTGCCTGGACAGTCACACAGATAATAATGTGAATAATAAAGTAAAATAAATAAATAAAACAGAGATGGTTAGATAGAGCTGTGTTTAAGGATTAAAGGATATGACTTCTATACCAAACACCAAAGGAAACAAACAGAAAAATCACATAAAACAGAAACATTGCGATAGCTTCGCGGTGCAAAAATGCAAAGCGCCTAAACCTGCATTCTGTACTGATACTATGTTTCACAATGGAAGATTATATTTGTCATGGTCGGCAGTGGGTGGCTGGAATTTCCATAAGGCTCCTGAACCTACCTGGGATCCGCCCCTGGGAAGGGCCAACTCCTCCAGCTCCTGCACACCTGGAGCCTATTGCAGGCAATCAAGCCAGAGGGATTTAAGCCACACGTTGATGTTTATTCGCTGCCAGTTCGACATCAACACATGTTGGTAACAGGCCTTATACTTCAAGTTCTTGCTGTGATTTATCTTGTTAACCAGACTCTCTTGTGCTGCAGTTGCTGTTTTCACCTTGGCTCACGCTCCACCTCCAGACTCAGGATACCAAGCAATCATTTTGAAAACCTCTCTGTGCCTCACCTGCCTGCCCTCCTGCCATCACACTCCATCTGAAGCCCCGGATCTCAGGTCAGCCTTTTCACGCCACTCAGCCACCCTGGATTCTCTCACCCCCCTCTCAACACTCCATGTCTCCTACTGCAATGTGACTGTTCCCTGCTCAGCTCCACTCTGCATCTCAGGCCTCGTTCCCTCGCCCTAGCCACGTTTCCCAGGCCACGCCTCGTCAAACTCCACGTCTTATTGTTTTGTCTTTGCTACGTTTTTTGCACTTACGCCTAATAAATTGTTATATCATCTGCTGTCTCTGCTCTGGGTTTCTGCACCTGAGTCCTGTTCAGTACAGGCCACTCGGCCCCGTGACAGTATTACATTATATCACACAAACTGAATTTTCCAGAGGAACCCACCTGAGGGATGAATAAAGTGTCATCTAATCTGATCTAGACTGAGGATTTATGACTGACAGGTCATCAGGAAATGGGCAAACAGCTTCACAGTCAGACCCGCCCTCTTCGTCATATCCTTCCCTTAAAACAGGACTAATAGATGATGTCGCAGTAGCTTTCTCTGCAGAAAAGTACTCATAAAATAATACAGAAAAATCCTTCATATGTACACTTTACATTGAACTAGAATTTCCCTGCATGTATTCCTGTAAGTCGGAGAGTAAACATTTAGTGCTGTTACTGATTTATATTTTACTTCTACAGCTTCATGTGAAACAGTGTCTGCAATTTCATAACCACATATTGGATCGGCTGTTAAAAGATGGATGTATTTTTACTTTAATCCATTATGTTGGAAGTGGCTTGATCCTCTGAAGTCACCCAGGGATTAGCTGTTTCAAAAGCACTGATGGTCTTTTCCTTTACGTCTGCCAGCTGTGTGTCGAGTAACCTGTACAGTTTTGTGGTAACGTTGCAAAACTGGTTTTACAGACATGATTAAGTTTTTACACTCCAGTGTTACCAGTCGAGGTCATCCTTTGAATCAGCACGTCTTTAGCCACAGCAACCTTTCTGAATAGCCCCAGATCTTTATCAAAGGACAGAATCCATTTATCTCTGGTTATCACGGGCAAAGTCACATTTGAAACACTTCCATCTCTGTCTCACCAAACTACCCTGATCATAGAAATCAATAACAGCTGAGTATAACTGCGAGCTTTATGTTGTGAGTTTACTGTTGTAAACCGTGAGTGGTGACAAACTGGGTTCAACACTGTGCAGGACTCCAGCAGCTGCAAAGCCGGTTGTTTATTCATTCCTAATGAAGTACGACAGAAGATCTGAAGACCTGAAATCATGCAGCTGCTCGGAGTGGTGGACACGGGTGTGCGTGACAATGAGTAACCATGGTTACAAAATCATCATCCACAGGGAAAGAGCTCAGGTTATCATATCCCTGCAACATCAAGAGTGTGCAATACTTCAGCACAGTTAGTGTCGTAACATTAATAACACTGACACTTTCAACAAGCTTGTCTCTGATTCCATTTTTACATTTTTCTTGTAAAACAAAGGGGGCCTGGCAAAAAAGTTTGGGAACCACTGAGTTAGGAACACATTTGAAGAGAAGTCTCGAAAAAGTACTACAACACGTCATTATTAGTATTAACAGCTGTTACTGCTCACAAACCCGCCTGCTCGAGTCAAATACTGCTGCTGTTATGGATTCTGTGGTGTTTTTGCCGCTGTGGAAAGTGGACATCACAGCAGAGGACGGAACATTACCGTCACGCAGGGGTTTCCCTTATATCAGCTGAGCACCGGACTGTACCATTACCCTGCCTTATGGGGGACACACTAGGGAAAACGGACACAGTTAAAATAATTACATCCAAGTGTGCCCAGAAATAATAATTATCGGGAAGCATTTATTCATACAAACTTCGATGTAATTAAAGTTCACAAGCGCTGTAGTCAGAATGTTTGGGATTTGTCCGAATACCACCCGCAATTCGTGTAGGCTTCCAAAAATGGCGGCGGTTTCTGTCAGTGTGGAGTGAAACTTTCCTATTTTTAGCGAAATTCTTCCTCCATTCTAGCATTTTGTCGACTGTAGTCGAGTGTTTATTAAAGTAGGCATCTTCGGAAGACACCGGCGTTTGACAGTCGTCGTCAGGACTGAGGGGGTGACTCTAAGCTCCGGTTTTGAGCACCAAATCGCTGAGCTTCCTTCGAAGTTGACGGTAGCTGAGTGCCTGACATTGCGATCATAGCGACTGTTGTCATCGTATCGCTTAGCGCCGAGCCGTCAGGTGAGATTGGACGTCGGTCGATTAGCAGTAGATAGCTTTGCGGCCAAAGGGCGTCGGAAACAAAGCGGTTGGTGTTTGTGTGTGTGGATCGAGCCGGGGCAGATTACAGATCCTGAGGACGTGTCACGTCACCTGTCAGTTGGAATAAATAGGTGCTGTTGGATGTCACCGCCACTCTGTGCCGCACTGAATTTGGTTTGCTAGCGTCGTGTAAGTACCGGCTCATTTTCACCCGTGTTCTGGCTTCACTGTGCGCCCAGACAGCTTGTTGTGTTTTGGGGCCTACAGTCACTTGCCTCCATATGTTTGTACTGCGCTTTTATTATGCTAGCTAGCTGTTAGCCGTCATTGGCTAATTTGTTGTATTATAATTTGTCTAATGGCATATTGCGGGAAAATAACTAAGTGCAGTTTTCATATATCGCCTACATCGTGGTGACTTTGTTTAGGGAACAGCAGCGAGGGACGGGGTTAGTGTTTTCTTGATTTTCCGGGCTGCCTCACAGCGGCTCATGGCTGCTCGGAGATTGTAAATGTCAACTTTCTGTCTCTAACGAGCGTTTTTAATGTCTCTTTCCTGATTTGTTTATGTTGGACAGCCATCCTGGCAAATCAAATGGAGAAGCTTCAGGACCTCAGCCAATCAGAGCTACAGGAGCTCCTGGACAGTCCGGAGAGGGTGGAATCGATGGCTCTGGAGTCCGATGAGGTGAAACTGGTGCTTCATTCTTCTTCCCCTTTCTCCAAACGCCGATTAAATTCCCTTAATGACAAGTCAGGAATTAGATTATGTGGCATTACAGTGACCCTACAACTGGTTTCTAATTTAAATCTCAAACTGTCTATAAAGTCTTTCTGCCAAGGTGACATCAGCTCAGTGAAAAGTGACAAAGACGAGGCGGTCAGTGGGAATTTAGTTTTAAGTGTTCAGTAGTTGTGTGATATTTTTCTTCTTCAAAATAATAAAGTTAGGAGTTATTATAATTGTCCTAGAAGTGAGCAAATAGGGATTTGCCTTTGTCCCTGTAACCTTTGCTTTGTTTGCAGTCATGCAAAATTGTAGAGCTGAGTTGTACCGAGGAACTTCCTGTCCTTCATCACCTCCTATTTCAAATGACTGACTCATGTCCCCGTATCTCTGAGCTGGTTCGAGTCCAGAATACTTTTTTTTGTTTTTGTGAAAGTGTTCTGATGATTTAAAATGATGGCAGATCTCCTGAAATCATTAGGTTAGATACGGACATTGAACTGCTGATTTGACACAAGCTTGCAGAAACCTGAGCCACTCGAGGTGAACAGAGACAGCACAGTCACCTGTGAGAGGAGCACGTGCAGAACTTTGCAAAAGTCTCAGTGGTTTATCTGCCATTTCTTCATTTGTCATCCAGTTTAATCAGATTTTAAGGACTGAGTGCACGCCAAGACAGGCAGGGTTTCAGGTTAAAGCTTGTAGAGAATCACTTTGTTGGTTGTCACGCTGTGTTAAGTTTTATAACTTCAACTGGGAGGACTGGGAACAAATGACGTGCTTTGCTGCTAGCAACAAAGTGCCCGAAGATGACATTTCTAACTTTGCTAAGCTGCCTGTTATGTGCAGACACAATACTGGTTCATCCCTTGAGTTAGCCGATTTATAGTGAGTGATTTATAGGTCAGAGTTTGGTGGCTTAACAAACCAAATAACATTCCTCTGAACATGATCAGGTACAAGTACTGAAAACAGCCGGTGTCCAAAGAAAAGCCTGAGAACTGTTGCTCACTTTGAAAATGACACGTCTGACTGCGTGGAAGCAGAATGGAAAGAGGCGAAGGCTTTTTGGACAACACTTTATGCCAGCCTGACTGCAGTGACACTTTCAAACATGCTGCTAATCCCAGAGGCCAACAGACGTTTTCCACTGACGAATGTGTAATATTGAGTCAGTAAATAACGACGCTGTGACACAGTTTCCTTTCAGTTCTAGACTGTTGTGAAAGTCGTGTGATGTTTTTGGGGTCGTAATCGTGGAAAAAATGTCCCCATAGCTGTATATGTGCGTCACAAAATAATAAACATGTACTCACGCATGAAAAACAGCAGTCAGATAAAACTGATAAGCTGTGCAGAGAGCTGTCCCATCCTACTGATCCCACCAAAGTCCAGTCCAGGCCTGGACTTTGGTCTTGACTTTACTGAACGCAGCGTTAGGAACGTTGTTCAGCTGTTTGCCATCACAGGGCTGTACACACAAAGACTCGTGTTAAACTGTAAAGACATCCCTCAGCTGTGCACCTCTGTGTGCTCGGCTGTGATGTGTACTCGGCCACACAGGACAGGAACAGGCACGCACAGACGTATGTCAGCCTAACAAACTTATTTACTGCAGTTATTTTACAAGATGGAGACTCCGGCTCGTTTCCAGCACACACGAGGCTCCTGTGTGAGTCACTGTGGTTGCAGTAGTACTTTTGATATGACTCTGTATTCTACACCAGGAGAATCTGCTGACATCCTTCCACCAAGTCAGTCCATCGTTCGCTCTTTCAGAGAAGACTGCTGAGTCTTACTAAATGCCACATTTCAGTACTTGTACATGTGGTGATGCAGACACACTGAAGGATCTACACAGACATGTGTTTAAAGTTATAATTCCCATTGCATTACATGCTTTTGTTTCAGATCCAGAACATCCAGCTGGAGAGAGAAATGGCTTTGGCATCAAATCGCAGCCTGGCTGAGCAAAACCTGGACATGAAGCCTCGCTTGGAGTCGCAGAAGGAGCTGCTGGTGGAGAGATATTCTCAACTAGAGGCAGTCAGAGAAACCTATAGACAGCACTGCTCCCTGAAAGGTAGGGGAGGGATGAACACTACTGACTGCACCTGAGTGTTTCCATCACGTCTGATGATCACATAAAAGTTAAAGTACATTTGTCTTTTTGAAGTTGACTATAAATGTCTGAAATGGACTGATTCACGTGCAGCACTTTTCTACTCTGAGCTCTTAATACAACATTCACACACATTCACACTCTGATGGATGAACTTGAACCTGGTTGAGTATGTTGGCGTGCAGACTGGAGGAGGCAGCGATCGACCTTCTGGTTAGTAAGTGACCTGAAGTGTCACTCAGAAGTGTTTCTGTGTTGTTGTCAAACTGTTCCTATTTTTCCGTCTGTTATACGACTTTCTTTTGTTTTTACACTTGGTGTCATTTTACACATTTATTTCTGAACATTTCAGAGTCGTGCATCATTTACTACAGCAGCGTTTCTTTATCATGTAACGTGTAGTTAAACACACAAAGGGGCGTGTCACTGGTCGGGGTCAGGCGATGATGTAAAGTCAGTTTGACATCTACTAAAATTAAAGTCTCAGATGACTCTGAATCCCAGTGACCTTGACCTCAACATGAGAGGTCAGCCTTTCTGAAAATCACCAGAGTTTCACATTTATACCACAGGTGCTCCTGGTGTAGTAGTAGTACACACACTGTGTGGGCACTGGACCCATCCCTCACCGCGGCCCCTGAAAGCCTCAGGATTTTATTATTGATGCATTTCTCTTCTGCATCTGTATGTGTGAAGAGAAGATACCCCAGGTACTCTTTCATGCATCCATCTAGGTTTGCATGTGAGGGAGTTAAATGTTCATGGATGCAGCTCAAAGTTCAGATGTCCTTGAAGTGTCAGGTGAGAGTGAAAACACCATATAAACGACGGTCCATGTACCGTGGGCTAAACTCAGACTGGGTGGGACGAACTTATGGACCTGATAGTGTAGTCACTATCACTTGAGTTACAAGAGTGAGTCAGTAATAAACACCTCAGTGAAGGAAGGTTCCCAGTTCCTGTTGAAAAACCTGCTTGGCAGCTAACGTGTGATTTGAAAGCGGCTCATTGTGCGACAGTACGTGGTTATCTGTGTCTGTGTTTAAGCAGGGAGCGCCAGCTTCAGACAGCTGAGTCGAGGGCAAAGCAGTCTTTATGTGCATATACATACAAATCCTAATAAACTGGCACCAGATGACTGTGCAGTGTTGTAGTGAGTCGTAGTTCTTCCTCCACAGTGCAGGTGGAGCTGCCAGATAGATCGATACATGAGGGACCGTGTCCAGTCCACGGTGCCTCTTTAGTATTGAGTCTGTGCACAGCCACCGAGCCAGAGTGAGCGAGGCGCTGTGTGTAACATGGTTCATTCACAATTTGTATAAACCCTCTTGATTCAGAGCTGAAAGTGTGAAATGTTTGCAAACAGTCTGCAGAGTCTCTGTCCTCAACAGCTGCACTTGTGCCTGTGCAGGTAAAGTCTATCTGTGGGACACACAGGTTTGCCTGTGTTTTTAATCTCTCACCATTATAATCATGTGACGCCACAGCTCTCATCAGTCTGAGCGTTTAATGTTTCCATCATCAGACACGCCCAGCCTCATACTCGGTCTCTTTCTAACTCTTGCTCCCTCAGATGGCATGGCAGGTCAGGTGTCTCCAGAAGCGCTGTTCTCCAGACTACAGACAGAGGGCAGCAAAACAGAAGAAGAGTCAGAGGTCAGTGATCGACTGTCACACACGTTGCAGGTGCATCATTTAACGTAAAGGCGACGCTTCGATGTTTGTAACGTGGGGGCAGCGTGTTCAGGTAATATGAGCGAAAGGCAACAGTTTAAAGTTCGGTTCTGAACGACGACGATCACGAATCGATTAAAGAGTTTCCTGAAGATGGGATGTGTTGTTTCTTATGAGTCTCTGCATGCATGCAGACATGACAGTGTGCTGGAAGTCAGTGTGAGGGCTCAGGGCAGCGTTTCCTGCTTCACCCACTAATGCATGCACCATTCGATGAAACATTGATGAGTTTTGACTTGGATCTTTGAGGCTGTTTCAGATTAACAATGTTCTGTGGTCTGACCAATCAAAATGATTTTTGATGCCAGCAGACAGACAACCTGGTATGACATCATTACACGATGCATTCTGCAGCCATGATTGGCTGTGTGTTAGATGGTACGGTGAATTTGCTCCTGAGGGAAGAGCCCATTAATGCTGACACATAAATGCAGGAATCACACAAATCACCATCAGATGATGTCTTTGGTTCAGAAGGTCTCAGCCTGTGAGCATCTACGCCAGTGTAGAGATCGTTTCTGTTCATAAAAATACATTCACGCTCCGATGGATGCATCAGAAAACAACGTGGAGTTAGTATCTCGCCCATTTGGCATGCAGACTGGGATCAAACCACCAACCATCTGGTTAGCAGGTGACCTGCTCTGGTGTCAGGATGTGGTCAGCTTTCACTGAAGTGATCAGACAGCAGCTGGCTTGGGAACGCTTTGCTGTTCCCGTGGAAGAGCATCTGAGCTGCTGCCTATGGTGCCCACCCCCGGAAAAAAGCAGCGATGGATGGGTGAGCTGGGATTATACTTCCCACGAGCTCCAGTCAGATGTGAATGACGTAAACGTCACCATCAGGCAGCGAGCGTGAGGGTCCACGTGACCTCCTGATGACTGTGTGCGACTCTGCTCCTCCTCTTTACTCAGCCACACCCACTGATGCCTGTAAATATGTGACCCACCTGTTTGTGATGGTGGAGACCAGCGTTGGGCGATATATAAAAATGTTCCAACCGACAATCGTCAGTCCAATAATCGGCGATGGGCGATATATTTACGCATGCGCAGGCTTTTTGATGGGCGGAGCAATGTCATTATGCACGCACTGATTTGCGTCCAAACATGGATGAACTCATTTCCAAAAACAATTAGGGCTGTCAGCGTCAACGCTGCATTAACGTGATTAACGCCATTAAAATCTGGAGCACAGAACGAACGAACTTTGGACAAACGGCCCAAAATGACTCAGTCTGTCGTGATGATGCCTCATTAACTCACCAATCACCAAACTGGGATGAAAAAGGTAAACCTAAGGATGTGACCAAAGCGGTGTGTCACTCGTGCAGACGTATAGAGTGAGCAAAGTACTCAAACACAACTAAATTACATGAGCACGTACGCGTGTTAGGCCATCACCAGCTTCTGCAGCTCCAACAAGCATCTGAGTGCACTCTGAGGAGGAGCGTTTGCTCGCAGAAGAGGCTGCTGTTAAAACAGCGCTATTATTTCTGTTGACTGCTTCTATTAGCTACATTATTATTAGCAAACCTTCTCATGGGCTCAGCCTGTCGGCGATAGTCGGTATATTCGTCCAATCGCCCAACCGTAGCAGAGACCTGCGGTGAGTTTGAACAGCTCGTGTTTTGGATCAGTTGCTTCATTCATCAGGACTTTCAACTAAAGACTAGCTGGACTAAGTGCGCCCCTGGGCACGCTGTGTTATCTAGTTGGGCAGCTCAGCAGTGCAGACCTATCCGAACTAGAAATGCTTTTACTTTGAAGGATTTTGCACTTCCTTTAACAGCGGCTGCTGTTTCTCTGGGCTGTGGCAGGCTTGTTGTCAGGGTTCTCACTAAATGGAGTTTCGATGTGCAGGTTGTGAAGCAGTGGGTGCATCATTAGTCTGTGGCTACTACAAGTGATCTGACCTTAGAGGTAGTGTGATACCTGCTCAGTAAGCACCGCTCATTTGTCTTACCTGTCTCGTCCCGCAGGCTCTAGCAGATGAGTTTCTGGAGGGATCTCTTCCGCTGGACTCCTTCCTCGACCGATTCCTCTCCCTACGCTCACTCGCTCACAAAAGACGCGTACGGATAGAGAAACTCCAAGAAATCCTGCGACAGAGGAGCGAGGGCAACACCCCCGCCATGACGTCGTCAGCATGCCTGAAAGAGGACTCTGCCACCCCGCTGTCACCGTGGGATCAACAGACAACAACAGCAACGACGACGAATCAACAGCAGCCGAGTTCCAAACCTCAGAACGCCCCTCAGCCCGCGTCCTCGTCTGCGGGGGGCTCCTCCGGGCTCCCCTACAGCCCGTACCCCGTGTCGGGCCCTACTCCTCCTGCTGTCGTGGCAGCAGCAGGCTCTGTTCCAGCCAATGCCCCGTCACAGTTCCCTCCTTACCCAGGTCCCACTTCACCTTTCCCTCCGGCAGGGAGCTACTCTGGCCCTAGCCCCCCTTTTGGGCCTCCAGCTTCGGCCAGCTGCCCTTACCCGGCCCAGCCCTCCTTTCCTTCGCCACATCCAGGCTCGGCGTTTGGCCAGTACACCCCGAGCCACGCGCAGAGCGGCCCCGCGCCCTACCCGGCCTCCTACAGCTATGGGGGCTACAGCTACCCGTCCGGGCCGGCCTATTCCAATTCTCAGTCAGCAACAGGGAGACCCATGTACAGACCGGGATATGGAGTTCCTCAGCCGTACTCCTGAAAGCACTACTGCTCCACTGTCTCTTCTTCAATCTTTCCTCCTTTGCTGTCTCACATGTCCTCTTCCCTCACTCCCGCTCTCCTCGCCCTGATCCTCCTCCCGTCCTTTCTCCGACGCTCCCAGACTCAAGAGGTCTCTCGCTTTACTTTGTTGCACTATTTCTCTAATATCTGTTTCTTTCTTTGCCCTTCCTTTGTCGACCCACCAACTCCCCCTACTCTGGTCTCAGGTTGTTGCGTTTGTGTTTAAGCGTTCAAACACTGTCTCTGGTTCACTCACCTTCTTCCTTCTGCACATCGTTGTCTCCTCCCTCCTCTTCCATGTCATTTGTGTGTGTGTGTGTGTGTGTGTGTTGCTGTTTGGCAATCAGAAAGTCCTTATAGACACAAGTGCACTCCCCCTTATGACAAATACATGGCAAGAATCGCACTCTGTGACAGTGTCCCCTCCCCTGCCATAATCTGTGTGGTTCACATTGTTTTCTGTGAGCGCCGACGAGATGTGGAAGCTTTATGTTCTGCTTCGATGACCTCTGGGCTTAAACGATGCCATTAAAAAGGAGAAGGCCGGTACACCGTACGATTCTTACATCAAGTTAAAGCGCAGGGTTTGAAGTTCCCATATTCTTATCTGTAGCTGCCCGGATATTCAGCTCTTCCAGTTGCAAGCGAATGTGAATGCGGCCACTTTGTTTCCTTTAACCAAAGAAACTTCTGCTGATGACACTGCTTTCATTCCTCTTCCTGTCGTTAGTGTTGGACAGAGGAAGCAAACTGCAGCGAGAGACGTCTCAGTACTGCGTTTGTAGTAGCGCACACCAGTGCCAGTAGCTCCAGATACCAGAGTAGAAACAGCAGCAGTGTGTGCACAGCGAGAGCACTGCCCCTTTAAAACCAGAGCCCACAGTGTGTCACCTCCAGTACACTACATAGAAAATACCAAGTGTACATGTGCAGCATTCGGTGTGGAAGCTACTGTCAGCGTCGGTGCTGCGACGTCCTCAGCTGCAGCTGCGTCAGCAGCTTCTCCTCTCAGCCCTGCGTAAAACACTCGAAGAGGAAACAGGCAGACTTGGGAAGATTCTTCAGATTCCTGATCCCGACTGTGATGTCCTTTCCTACTTTTCTGTAAAGTCAACAAACGTGTGTTTCTGTGAGTGGAAGCCGAGCGGGAGATGGTTTGTGCAGCACTAGCTGGAGACACTGTAGGCAGGTTTCTGGTTTTCTCCACACATCTTCATCTTTTGTTTTGTATTTGTCCAAAAAGTAATTCAAAGGGAAGCCCAGGAAGGGTCAGAACGGTCACACTCTTAAGTTCCTTATAAGCATGTATTATCGTGGAGAAGCTGACACAAAGGGATTATGTTGCTGTGTACTCCCTGCACCTCTCTGATTGGTCCATGGAGGCTCTCCAAAGTCAAGCTTTGTGTTGGCTTCAAACACTTTGGCACTGCAGACCATCGTAGGTGAGGTGGAGGTGTTGAAGGGAATTTAGTACGTGTGTATTTCTAAACTGAAGTGCCAACATCGTGACAAACGCGTAAATCTCACATGTCTTTGGTGACAAGCTGTACCTTACATCCCGCTATTAACACTCCAGAAAGCTGCATTAGTGAAGCGAGCTCAGAGTTTAGGCGACTGCATGATGATGATGTTAAAGAGGGGGAGGAAGCCCGGTGTGGTTGTGCAGCGGAGTACGCAGAAATCCTTTTTGTTTCAGTGCATGTCAGACACAAGCAAAGGTGAAGCTGCTGGATTATTTGGTAGAGATGCAGCTGTTAATCAAAACACAGTAAATCTGAAGACAGGCTTCAGCTGAGAGCTGAGAGCTGGCTAATGCTAGGGCGAGCACTGCGGACACATTCAGTCATTATCGTAGGAGCCAGTGTGAGCCACGCTTCAGATGTCACATGATTTAGAAGAAGTTGGATATCAGCTGACTTCCCTGCCAAGGTCAAAGATCACTGTTCATTCTTCCTGGTTTAAGAGCTGTCGCTAAGACTGCTAGCACAAAGGCTTTCACTCATCACACAGAGGTTTCTATGGTGTTTGGTCATTTATGTTTTATTTAACCAGGTTAGTATAACCATCCTCTGTTCCTCCGCCGGTCTGAAAGAGCCTGTGATGGGCGGCTGACTGTCAGAAAGCGGCTCGCTGTGGTGAAGGAGAACATGCTCCACCACAGAGCGTCAGACTCGCTGTAAGGTCTGCTGGAAACAAAGAAGGTTCGCTCTCCTGAACGAGGAGTCTGAAACTGCCACTCGTGCACCGTCTGCACATAGAAAACACTTTGAGGCACAGCTACAGTCAGCTGTTGAGTGTGACCTGCTCTGTCACTAGCCACAGAGCGCTAACCCACGGCAGTAAGGTTCTCTTTATAAACCGCTCGCTCACCATGCTGATGTCACAGAGCAAAGACCAGCGTTAGCTCCTCTGCAGGAGGCAGTGACTGCAGATTTAAACGTTTCGTGGCAGTAGCAGATGTAATTGGCAGTTTGTTTCTCCTGGTTTACGATTACTGCCAACTCTGAATTGATTAAGTGCTTGATAGAAACTAACACATAAACCAATATTTCAGCATTAGGTGAGTTTGTCTTTTATAAAGAGTGCCTCACTCCTCACAGGTAAATATGGGCTGTAGCTGACAGAGTGCATGTGATGGCTCACCTGAATCCAGCTCTCAGTACCTCAGATGTCCACACGGTGGCGCCAGCCGACAGACTGGCGCCGTCTGATTGGATGAGAGCTGATGATGCTGCACCTCTCTTGGTGCTAACGTCGCCCTCTGGTGTTACCTGTGGAGTTACTGCACACACACAGCAGACGTCTCACTGGTTGGTTTTACGTGAACAGGAGTAGGTGACGACGTCACACAGAGATGCTGCAATAACCCGAGCATGACGAGCTTTCATACACAATAAAGACATGATGGTGGATCTGTCCCGAGGACTTCAGTGTTGTTAAAAATGACAACGACAATAATAATAGTTTTACAGTGTTTTAGAAAAAGCACAAGGCAGATGTCTTAATATAGTTAGCATTAATATTCTGGAGGGAAATATCAGATTGATTTAATGGTTCTGACGTGGAGGAGTTCTATATTACTGATGATGTAGATGGAAAAAGAGAAACAATGTTTTCTTTCTTGTTTTGGTTGTGAATAATTAAACAAGTTGATTTGAAGGAAAATGCTCAGAGTCTTTATTACGTCAGGATTCATGGAGTCAAACTGCTATAACAATGATTTCTGTGAGGTGCATCGAGTCTGACTCGCTGATAACACATGTTATCAGAACAAAGTTAGGTGTGTAAAGTTCTCTAATACCAAGAAAACCCTGATTTAACTGGATCAATGAGGAGCCGCTGATATCAAGACGAGGAAGCTCCTTACCACGAGTGGAGGGCTTCACACCAGCACCACGAGACTGCACGCGAAGTGGAAGGAAGGAGGCCGAGGACTGGAGAGCATCCGGGATGGAAACAAACACAGGAAGACGGCGTCCAATCATAGTGTGCTTACTGAGAACGAATGAGAGGAGCCATCGTGGAAGGACGTACGACTCCACAGCACCGCTCACAGACAGCGGCTGCACTCAGGACGCCAGAGCCGCCTCAGATATTTTAAGGATGGACTTCACAAGTTTCCCTTTTTAGGATTCACCTTGTTGGTGTAAAGTTATTATTTTATGGCTGTCAAAGTGTTTTCTTTCATTTCTCACAGACTCGAGTACAGAAACGGGAACACATGGTGTGTTTTTTGTTACTAAAGATACATTTAAAAATGATACATGGTGCAATTTTCATGCTTGAATGATTCATAGATCAAAAAACATTCTTCTGATCATGTCTGAGGAACTAATATGTCAATAATGTCACATCCTTCACTTCAGTAGTCCACGTGCTGCACTCGTTACCATGATATTGATTTGAGATATGACGGTTTTTCAAAGACTGTTTCATTTACGATTCCTCTGAGATGGAAGTGAGTTTGTTGTACACGCTGCAAACACTCTTCCCGAACATCGCGTTCTTGCCTAAGAGATTGATGCGAGCTCGTGGATGTGCTGTGGTTGTGAAGCTCATGACGCCAGCTGCTGTGAGGGGAAAACGCTCAGACATTTGGGAAATTCAGTGCAGCGAGGAGTAGGAGTTGAAAGTTGTGGGGGTTTTGTCGTATCTACGGCGCCGTAAACCAGAGGTGGAGAATGAGAGAAAACGAGAGTGACGAAGGTGACGGAGGAAAGTAGTGTGCAAAGTCCACGCCGAAATGAATCAACACACAAGATATTTTTGTTTGTCACAGCCAAAGGATGATGTGTGAGTTCACGTAGTCACATCTTGTCGTGTCGTAGTTGATGCTCGGATCTTTGCACATGTTGAAGTCTAAGGAAACGCTGATCTGCTAACACGACAGCACACAGGCCTCCAGATGCTGCTGTGGGACAGTCACTGCTCACGTTTAGGCTGTGTGATGTTTTTGTCACATGTATACAACACCTCATTGTTTAAAAAGTGATTATAGCACGTTACCACGTCTCACTATGTGAATCTAACATTCACACTCTGATGAAATCATCTTAGCGTGCAGGCGCAGCAGTCGGGATCAAACCACCAACCGTCCCGTTAGCAGATGAGTAGCTCGAGCTGCTGAGCTACAGCCTCCCGTCCCTCCCTGTACTATTTATATTATATGAATCTTTACTTTGTAACATTGTAACTGCCTTCATGTCTTATACTGAAAAGATCTCTGACAATGTGCCTGATATTTACGCTCTGCAGCTGCAGCTCGCTGTGAGCAGCACAGTTCATGTGTTTCTCCAGTGCAGCAGATTACAGCGTGCACTCTGAGAGCTCACTGTTATTAATGTGTATATATTTATATATATATATATATTAGAGGTGGGAATCACCATACATCCCACGATACGATATTATTGCAATTTTTAAAA